TTTTTTTTTCTTTTCCCTTTTTTTCAGTTATTACATATGATATTAATTATTTTCCGTTTAAAGTGTAAAAAAGATAATTAATTAATTAATTAAATGATTATTTTTCCTTAATTATTCTTCTTTTACAAAATAAAATCTTGAATAGTTGCAGGATATTCCATTGACAAGACTTCAAAGATGGAGTAAATTACCGTCAGTTTCCCATTAATGGCATCAAATCACGCCATTACTGACATGTCAAGATTAGACAAGTACTCGGTCGGAACTTCATTTTGCCATCTTCTTCTTCTTCTTCGTCAATCTTTCTTTTTTACCTAACAATTCATATTAATTTATCTCTGGTTATTTTACAGAGTTCACGCAAACAGAAATCGCGATTTCAATCACCATAATCTGATTCGAACAACATTCTGACGATCGAAATCCACGTGATAATTGTATGTCTATGTCGTCCTCTATTTACATGAAGCGTTTGTTTACGTCATGGCTCTTTTTTTTTTTTGATAATGAATCTATTTGATGTCTGCCATTTTTGTTTTCTTCTATGTAACGTGAATGGAGACAGGACGAGATTATTAGACTTTTACTTCTTTTAGAATATTGAGGCACGATTCTTCCACTTGTTTTTTTCGTTGTTTGTTTATTTTATTTTATTATTAATGACTGTTCTCTGATCTGGTGTGTACTAGTGTTCTTCGAGTCTGACTTTCCTTTTCGCTTTGTCTTTTCTTTGGTATCCATTCTCTCGCTTCAGCTTTTGCTTTTGGTGCCTTCGGCTCATCGTATGTGTTTCTGCTCTTTTTTTTCTTAACGCAATTTTCTGGGTTTTGTTCTATGGAACTCCGTACAAAAGATCAAGTATTTTGATTTTCTGGATTCTGTGTTTATATTGTTTGTTTCTGGATGTCACTAACTTGAATTATGGAAAATTTTCTCTAATAGCTGACTTCATTTATTCGATTGGTTGGTTGTTTCGTCTTGAACTGGTTTATTTTGTGTTGACTTGATATCTTTGAACTCTTAATTGGCACCTGTACAGATGCATATTCCTTTATCAAACACCCTTGATTTTACTTGCGGTTTGGAGTTTGATTAAGGTGTTATATGGATTAGGGATTTGTGGAACAATGTTTTTTTTTTTTCCTTTTTTAGGGAATGAATATCATTGATCTCTAAAATGGCTCTGTTTCATTGTGCAATTTGGAATTTCTTTTTTGGGTTGGCACTAATGCATTTCTTTGAACTTTTTTACAATCTTATTTTTGTTCTTATATATGTTTGTATTTGCCACCTATGCAGTGCATGTGTGTGCCCGTGAGTATATATTTAGTTTGTGGATCCATTGTTAGAGCCTCCATTTTTAGGTCCTAATTCTACTTCTTCCCCTGAATTTTCATGACCAGAATACACCTGTAGCTGCTTTTACATTTTGTGGGGGATTTGCTGTATTTAAATAGTTTTCCATTTGAATGGAGTCCATGTATCTGACTCTGGATGGTGTGGGTTTAAACTATTGCTGAGTTGAGGTTTTAATGAATTTCCATATTATGTGCAAATTGATTCCCTTCCATTTAAACATTCTTTAACTGCATTAAGTTGACATCCAGTACTCACTATTGTGCAGGTGCCTACTCGATTCTGGACGAGTTTGTATTTCCTGAAAGTTCTTGCAAATTGTAAAATGTGATATACAAAATCTGTTTTATATTGGGAGTATTTTGCAAGATTGCTGCTCCTCTGGGATATTAAAATCTGCAAATTGCTGCTCTCTTGTGATATGCACTCATTCTGATTCATGTTAATTGGTTATAACCAACGGAAGAGCCATGGGACAGGCTTCGTCACTGCTTCTGGTGCTTTTGGCCTTTGGTTTTTTCATTGTGACATATAATTTGCTAACCATGTTAATGCACAATAGAGCAGTTGGAAAATGGATCAGTGATGATTCAGATGGCGGAATATTTTTTGATCCTGTTGTTAAGATGCCTGAAAATGTGAAAAATCCAAAGAATGCCAAGTTGCCATTCCATGTTGCCTTAACAGCCACTGATGCTCCTTACAGCAAGTGGCAGTGTCGCATTATGTATTATTGGTACAAGAAGAAAAAGGATCTGCCTGGGTCAGATATGGGGGGATTCACAAGAATTTTGCACTCAGGAAATCCTGACAACTTGATGGATGAGATTCCTACAGTTGTAGTTGATCCCCTTCCATCAGGGTTGGATCGGGTGAGTGCTCTTTTATGTTTCTGTTTTTCGTCAGTTACTCATATACCTTTTTCTCATAACTTTACCTTTCAGGTGAAATTAAATCTTGCACTGGCTCCTCCATTATGCAATAAGTTGATAATTTCCAATCACACAATAGTTTTTTATTTTTTGTTCCCTTTTATATTTCTTTTTGCCAATCCAAAAGTTAGAATCATAAAATGATTAAGAAAAGAGACAATGGTTATCAAATATAGGAAAGACAGAAATTTGTGATGGTGCTTTGTTGCCTTCTGATCATAAATTCCTAGGTTGATGCTTCAAAATATCGGTGAGCTATGGGCTCTTGCAACTTTTGGCCTGTGTATTCTTCTAAGTTCGGGAGAGTTTTTAGAAATTTTATCACTCCGCAATATTTTTATTAATGAACAAAATCTGCTTCGTAGCTAAATAAAATCTTGAATTGGTTCCATGGCTGCATGATTGAAGAACAAAATGTTATCTTAACTGACTTTCTGTTTAATTCATGGTCACAAATTTAAATGCTTGTGATTATATGATTGGTGCAAATCATAATATGGCTATATCCACTCCCAGATGAGAAGCCTCTGAATATTTGTTTCTGCCTCTTCTTTAACATGCTTAATTAGATATTATTATGGAGTTACTCTAGCTATTTACTGAATATATTCTATGTTGGGTAATTTTTTATGTGGTTTCCAATTCATTGCTCAGGGTTACATCGTCCTAAATAGACCATGGGCATTTGTGCAGTGGCTTGAAAAGGCTACAATTGAAGAAGAGTGAGCTTCCGTGTGTCTTATCTTCTCACATTGGGTTGAATCTTATCTGAATATCCATTAAAGGACATTGTTTTTTCTGTTGGTGCAGATACATACTGATGGCAGAGCCTGATCACATATTTATAAGTCCCCTCCCCAACTTAGCAAGGGGTGGATACCCTGCTGCCTTTCCATTTTTCTATATTAAGCCTGAAAAGAATGAACAGATAATCAGGAAGTTTTATCCAGAGGAGAATGGGCCTGTGACAAATGTTGATCCAATCGGCAATTCTCCTGTTATTATAAAAAAGGTGAAGTCCCACATACTACCGTGTCTGCTGAGGCCTGGCTTTTTCTATTCTGTATGATCGGCTGATTGATTCATGGAATATTTTTGTAGATGTTTTATTGCCTTTCCATGTTATATATAGCCATCATAATCATTGTTATCACTATCTACTGATGGTATTTTTGTTCTGTCTTTTATTCTCACATATATAGTTTCTTGATGAAAAATTAGTTACAAGAACTTATTTCAGTGTTATTTCAGAAAAAAAGAACTCATTTTAGCGATTTTTCAAGTTCAGGATTTGCTGGAAAAGATTGCTCCTACATGGATGAATGTTTCTTTGAAGATGAAAAATGATCCAGAGACTGATAAGGCTTTTGGCTGGGTGCTAGAAATGTAAGCATAGGAAAAGCATTATAAGTTCATTATTTATTTCTTTACATGCTAGCTTGTTGGTATTGACATGTTTTTTTTATTTCTTTTGTTTTTTTTTGACAACTAAGGTATGCTTATGCTGTAGCATCTGCATTGCACGGTGTGCAACATATTCTTCGAAAGGACTTTATGCTGCAGGTTTAAGAGCTAATCCTTGTATTCTTTTACTTATGGAAGTTGATTGTCATCTTTTAATTAGTTTCTGTTCTGACCTGAGATGCTGGGAACCGTCCTAATGATAATTGCCTTCTTCCTGTTTCAGCCCCCATGGGATCTGGAGACTGCCAAAAAGTTCATCATTCATTACACTTATGGCTGTGATTACAATATGAAGGTAACTCGGCCAGAGGCTGCTAAAGATATTCAATAAAAAAGGAAAAAGCTGGTTTAGACAAACTAAAGACAGTAGTATATTTCAGTTTTTATGAAAATGAAAACAGCTGGACACAGCTGGACACTGGTCTGATATGAAGCTGGTCTTATATAATCTTTCTTCTGGTAAATGCATTGTGTTAAGTTGCTGCTCTGGCATTATCATTATATGAGTTACTGGATCATGTTTAATGTTGCTTGACATCCAGGGTGAGCTAACTTATGGAAAAATTGGAGAGTGGCGATTTGACAAGAGATCATATCTAAGAGGACCTCCGCCCAGGAATCTCTCACTGCCTCCTCCAGGAGTTCCTGAAAGTGTGGTATGCCTCTAATATTTTATCTTATAAACATATCTTGTCAGTATGGATGGAATGTATAGCTTGTATTACGTTCTTCATGTGGATTTGGTTCTAAATTTCTACTATATATATAGGGTCAATTAGCAATATATGTTTCTACCAGTTCATTTGGTGATTATCTTTTTAAAAGAGGACAGATATAAGCAGGAAAATTTGTGACATTTAAATGTGTAATGGTTCTCGCACTTTATGAGTCTTAGTTGGGGCGTCCCGAATTCACGTTGTAGAGTATCCATATTTTTATAACTTATTTGAACAGAGTTGAGCAACGATCGAGCTGTTACTTTTGCAATGAGCCAATGCTACAAATCCCTTGCCTGCCATTGACTTTTACTATTGTTACAAGGCTTTTTCTTTGGCTTTTTTCATGGCAGGTTCATGTTCTATGTGTCTAAGCAACTTTGAATTACATAATCTGATTGAGTAATTGCCTGTATTATGCATATTAATTGAATGTGCTTTTTATCAAGGTTACAATAGTCTCTTTTGAGTCCAACAAAATTTATGTTAGGCATAAGAATCTCAACTTTCTCTTTTGGTGATTGTATGATTTACTGCATGACTAGTTGAATCTTTGAACTTCGGCATGGGTGATTATGAATCCTCTGTTGCTTAGCAGTTGTCAATGGTACTATAATTCAGTTCTCTTGTTTTCTGACTACAAAAGTTGGAAGTGTGAACATTTTAATTTATATTTTCTTGAGCTTGCGCTAGCAACTTTATGAAAGTTCCTTTCTTTTTCTTCAGGTAATTATTTGGTCTTTTAAGCCCACCGATGTCTTTTTCTCACAAATATCTAAAATTTTTGAAACTTTTCACCTCTGCTGAGAGGGCCATGGATAGAATTTTTTATCTCAGTCCCTTCCTGGAAGGAAATGGTGAAATTATGAGTGTAATATTAGAGTGTCAGCTTAAAATGAGAGCCTTAGACTGAGAACAGAAAAGTTCATGGTGGGATGAGTAGTAGGCAGCCAAAGCTAGGAATTGTCTAGATTGGGGCTTTTGGCGGGCGCGGTTTGTCCAGTAAGCAGTAAGAATAGTTAAAAGTTTACAGGCCTGAATTTGGTGTTTGCTGCCAGGCAGCTTTTGCAGGTTCTGTGGGTGGGCACTTATCTCTTGGACTAGGTTTGTAATAGAGCATGGCTATGCTGTGATCCTATTTCCTGTTTCTCAAGTAATGTGCACAAGTCAGCGTGGATAGCTAGGTCTCTATTATGACGCGGGGCGTTAAATATTTATTGTACCTAATAAAAGCAGAGTGATACAAATCCTACTAGCATATGTATTAATCTTGACCAACCAATTGACAAATTCTTACAAATACTATCTTCTTGCTGTCTGGAAACATACAAATGTTGAACTAGTTTCAGTGGTGCAGCGGCTTTATCTCTTAGATTTTGACGGCCAATTTATCTGAGCTGAGCTAAGGAGGTCAAGGATTGATTTTTTACCTTGCATGGATAGGGAGTTAAAAAGAAATGCAGAAACTCAGGCTTAGATTTATGTTTGAAAATATTTATAAAATAATATCATATTTTATTTTTTAAAAGAAAATATAGCATATTTTCTTTGCATTTTTTCTAAACTATTATTTTTATGCTTAACTATTATAAATGTTTGATTTATTGACATATATGATTTGGAAACTAAAGTAAAAACTATTTTTATGTATTAACAGAGTACTTTCATCTTTTGTTAGCTTATAGTTGTACTACGCGATGGATGCATATATAGATAGATTCGGCGGCAATTATGATATCTTTCAGTATGATTTTCTGGTGTTACTTGCAGGTGACCCTTGTAAAGATGGTGAATGAAGCTACTGCCAACATCCCCAATTGGGACACACAATAGATACATGGCTGTCCTCAAGATGGTATATTTTCTGTGAAACTTAAAATTCTTGGGGGAGGAATTTCTGTTTTATTTTTGGTTCTTTTTTTTTTTTTTAAATTTTAAATCTCAGAGTAGCTTTCTCTAGAAACTTGATGTATACAAACCTCAGTGAAGGAAAAAATAGAAAGAGAGGTTCTTACTGAAATTTTAGAAGGCCTTTGATTTTTGGGATTTAAACCATTCCATGGAAAATTCTACCATGTTTGAGCTTTTGATAAAAGGGTTAATCCCATTTTGTCCTTACCACTAGCTCCATACTCTTGCGTATGGGGAAAACATCCAAAGAGAGAACATCCAAAGAGAGACTCTGTAAACAGAAGAAACTTTGGTCGTTCGATATATAAAAATATTTATAATTTTTATTGTTCTTGGTGGTTCAATAATTGAAAGACTGATTAGGAAAGATCCGATGAGATATTCGGATGATTTTTTGTATCTTAATGTTTTAGTGGAGCTGTAAATAACTCTCTTTTTAAGTATACATTCAACACTGTTAATTATATGTCCGCGTAGAAATTAAACTTGTAGTACTTTTTTTTTCCCATGCTATGTGGACGTCCACGTCGTCGTCTATGTGGACGCCGGCGTCCACGCGAAAACAAAAGATAGAAGACTTCTATTATTTCTTCTATCATCTAGACATTGTTGTTGACAGATGTTATCTTCTCATTTTTCCTCTTCTCCCCCATTTCTCTTCAGCTCGAAAAGCTTCCTCTTTTCTCTCTGCAAAGCCAACGCCTGCTTCCTCTTCCTCGGTTTCTTCATGAAACTGATATGAAGGTACTTCCTTCTGCAATCTGCAACAGCTTCCTTCTGCAAAACCTGATACAGTTGTAGAGGAACATGCCTCACGGTTCCTAGACTGGCGAAGAAGATCACCATTGCAGAGAAAGAGGGAAAGGGGGAAGCTTTTCCAGCCATGGAGAAAAGGGGGGAGAAGAAATAGGTTGTATGTTGCTTAGTGAAAAGAAATAATGGGAAGTTTGTGGTTTTTTTTTTTTTTATTTTCGTCGTGAATGCCACGTAGACGACAACTAGGACGTCCACCTGGAAGCCACGTGGCATGAAAATTTCAGTCTTCGTCAATTTTTAACACCTCATTTTAATTTTTATTTTTTTTAGTTATGAACAGTTTTTTAAAAATTTTTAAATATATTTTAATTTTTTTTCTATTAAGAAATTGATTAAAATTAGAATTTTGAAATATATGCAAAATATTAAAAGCTTAGATTGTAACAAAAAAATTAAAAATTAAATTGTAATAAATATCAAATTTTTTTAAAAAAAAAATGGTATTAATTAATTATGAAATTACAACTTTATTAACACTTTTTGGAAATAAATAATTAAATAATAATGAGTCACGTGAGTCGCACGTGACGTCAATGATTATTTTGAACCAATGAAAAGCAAGCACATGGTACACAGAGAAAAAGGGAAGCACGTGAAGCATGAGGTGAGTGGGGCCCAGGCCACTAAAGAAGTGGTTTTGTGGGCCAGAGTTAGGCCCATAAAACAATTGAGTGGTTTGAATTTTTGATTGCCCGAACTACAAGCAAATATTTGGGCCCACTAATCCCACCCATTATTTTTTATTCTCTGCCTTTGCCTTTTCCGGTCAAGGGATCATTCCTTTTAAGCCTTGATCATATATATAAATATATATATATATGTATATACATACACATGTCCTCGTTTAATCTATAACTATTCCTATTGATGATTTTGCGGATGACAACAAGGTTAATATTGGGGTGACAACAAGGTTAATATTGAGGTGTAACATTTTATATCCGAATTCGTTTAACCAGACGTGTTCGAATATGATATGATGCGAATATTTTTGTCAAAACACAAGTTCAAATTAGATCTTACTCGGGTTGATGGGATAAGAGGGATAAATTGAAGCACTTTTGTATGATAAAATAATTAAGTTGGGTAATCTACAAATTCGACACTGTTCGAGAAATTTTTTTTAAAAAAATTTAAACCCATTTGGAGTTTAGAATGAGTTCAAGTTTACTTTTTGTAGGAGCGAGTTGAATTCCGATCTAATAAAATCTGTCACGAACTCACCGTGTTGGCATTTCTGGTTAAACTTCGGACATTATAAATTTATTTTATCTCAATTTAAGAGAGTATGTTTGGGAATTATATGGGAAGAGAAAAGATAAGAAATGGGGGAGTGGAGAAGAGGGGAAATGATTTCATTTTTCTTTCTCTTGTTTGGGGGATTTTAAAAAATAAAAGCTCAAGTAAAGTGGGAGAAAATTAGTTAAGCATTTTTTGACTTTTGGTTGGCAAAAAATATGAAATTTACATTTTTACAAATTTTACCCTTCATATCTTTTGCTTTTATATTATAATAAATTAAACTTATTACTCAGTATATACAAACAACATTATAAAAATATAGTATTAAACATATGTTACCAAAAATTTTATTAATTTAAGTAGAATTAGAAATTTTTTAACCATATATTTAATAAACTGAGATAAAATAAGTATTTTATTTATTTTATATTCACTCGACATTTATTTTGAATTTATAAAATTTTTCTAAAGTTATTGTATAACGTATTAATTACGAATTTTTAACTAACCCATATAGGGAATCGAAAAATAATTCCTCTAAAGTTTCATCTATGTAATTTAATTGTAGCACTTCTCAAAGTTTCAAACTTTTTTAAAAAATAAATAAATAAATTATTGACATTTTTATATATTAACTTGTTTTGCTTAAAAAAAGGTAAATTAATCATATATATATATTATGTGTATATATATATATATATTTTTTTTGTTTAAATATTGAAAGGAACTTCCAAGAAAATGGGTAAAAGGGAGTAAATCAAGGGGCAGTAACTGACAAGTAAAAAGATGAAAAGAGGAAACCAAAAGAGGAAAGACTGTTTGGTAAGACTCGGTGTCAGGTTTTACAGAAGAAAAAGGAAACCAAAAAGGTGTATGCCTTTCCTATTTTGTCATTTTCTTCTTGAATTTACTCTTTGGGTAAATAGAGAAAAATATAACTGGAGTTGTCCTTTCCTATTTTGAACTTTGGTTTCATGGGGTAAAAAGCCATCACCAATTTTGGAGTACATTCATCATCATGTGACTTCCTTCTATTCTTATTTTATTAATCTTACAAAATTTTATAAATCATATTTTATTGAATATTAATAATATTCAATTTTTAAGATAGGCCAAGAAAGGTCAATTATGTAATTTTACGGAGAGTGCGTTTTGTCATCGAATTGTGTTATAAAACACGAAACTCAACCGCGAAGCAAGGATTTAAAAATGAGTGTAATCACTTGGAACAACAAAATTAAATTTAAGGTATTTGATGAACGCGATGAATTTAGGGACTAATGACATATTGTTGCTTAGCAGTGGCAACAATATGAGATGATTATGGTAAAGAAAAATGGTGGAGAGAATAATAACGAGGTAGAGTGTGTTATGGTGATGGAGGGATCACGATAATGATTTTGATAGTCTATATGGTATATCTTTTAAGAAATCTTATTCATATCTTATTTTATTACACCTATTATACTAAATATAATTTTATACTTTTGAGTCATATATTATAATTATAAATTAAAGTCCAAAATTTCACAGATCAAGATCATATTAGCATAAAGATAACAAACTAATACATACTTTGTTACTATTTATAACTTTTTTAAGTTCGTGAGTCACTAGGTTAATAACTTCTAAACTCACTTCCATGTCTAAAAAGCTTAAGTTTGAGATATTCACAGTATATGACTTGAACTCTTATATAAAACTCAATTAATCAAATATTTCCTAATGTAAATTGAGGTATCGTAATATTTGTAATGTTTCGAGCCTAAAACTATTGTCTCAAAGACTTTCAGACTAAACCACTTATTTTGAAAAAACTGACAACTTAAAATTATTGATATATGTAGCTTAAATTCTTATATAAAGTAACACAATTATATCTTTCAATATAGGATTCAGGCAAGACAATCTAAATCATCGATGTCTTCGTCAAGACAAGATATTATAATCACAAATCACAATTTAAAGGCTCACAAAGTTTTAAATTTTACCAACTTAGAGTCATGGAGCTAAAATTGAAAAAAAAATGAATTGCATAACCATGCTTTTTTAAATCACTACGAGATTGGCTTCATTACGTACTGTCAACAATCTCTCTTTGCATTAAAACTAAACAATGTGTTATCAAACACCCGTACTATTTACGTGGCAATCAAAAAACCTTCTGTACTAATTCCTCGGTGAAGATATACATTGACTCATTTCTTATGCAATTACCTTATTATTATATAAAAAAAAATAGATATAAACGTTCTACTATCATAGGAACCAAATTGATTTATATTAATGAACATCTAAATCCAAGTATAACAACTTTACACTACGAGTGTCAAAAGCTGTATTGTAGTTAGAATAGAGAAAAGACTAAAGAAAAAGGAAGGACGAAGAATGAAGCAAGACAAAATAAGGGTTTATCTGATTTGAATGACGTAAATATGTTTTGAATATAAAATTACATTTTTATCCTTCTATCGTCAAGTAAAAAAAAGTTAAGAATAGTTACTGTCCCATCTAGAACTGTATGACAATAATTTTTATACTCCCGTAAATATTATAGTAAAAATAACTTTTACCCATTATAATATTTTTCTAGTTATATAATCACATTTTTGTTGGTTTACGAGACATGTTTCAAAATCAATCTTAGAATTCCAACTTTCTCAACAAGACAAATATTGTTTTATCAATTTTTTTTTTTAAATATTATTTTTAACCAACACAAAAGACATTCAAAAGTTGCTATAACCCAAATACTTTTAAAATTTTTTTTTATATTTTATTAATTATATAATATACATACGTAAATAATAACATATTTTAAAAAAAATAAAAATACACATAATATAACATCTTAATAAAAATACAAAATATATATCAGTAAAAAGATATTGAAATATTTACTATAAAAAAAAAGTTAATCTCTATTTATAATTAAGGTATATATATATGTATATATATATATATATTTATATATTTACATCATATGTATGGGATATAAATAATTAATATCTACAAGTATGGAATATATAGATTTATTTTGTACAATTATTTGGGTCTCACATGCAACTTATAATCTAAAGAGAGAATCGAGGCAATGTTTAAGCACTAATGGACAAAAAAACCAGCAAAATTTGTTGACTTTAGCAGAGAGCTGAGCTTTGCTACACCTTCTGATTTTTGTTTTTTTAGT